AAAATATAAAATGATGTGATAATAGTATGAATTGATTGGTAAATTAAATAATGGTGAAATCTAAACTAAAATGATGCAATAATAATGTAAAATAATTGGATAAAAATATAAATTAATGCTATTGGATAAAATAAATAAAAAATAAAAAAGTAAAAATAAAAAAAAAAAGTTTAAATGAACATTACTGCGCTAAAATATAACGTGATATAACTAATAAAAGGTAGAATGGTAACAATATATTTAATAAATTCTATTAAATATATTGAATATATTTGATATTTTTGATAAAATTATAAAATTATGTGAATTATGAAATTATAGAAATTTTCAATTGTAATAATGCATTTTTTGTATGTGAAACAATCAACTTTTATATGTTTACTTAATATATGAATGGATCACTTTATCATAAAATTTTAATTAACCATCTTTTCAAAAATGCATATAGAGTTATGGGAGAATGTTAAATCTTTCAACAAGATAATGACATGAAGCATCAGACTATAAAATGAAAGAACTTCTTCATTATCAAGTTCCAAAGATTCTTGATTGATCATCCTATAGTTCTGATCTTAATCCAATAGAAAATCTCTGGATTATTATTAAAAAGAGGGTTAAGAAACAGGATAGTAAAATAATTAGAAAAGAAAAAACAATTAGCATTAAGCATTGGCATAATTTAATTAGGAAGAAGTGGGAGGATATTTCGCTTGATATGTGTCTTAATTTAGTAAATTCAATATCAGGTCGTTTAAACGAAGTTCTTGAAAACAATGGGAAAAGAATAGATTATTAATATATATATTTATTGTATATAAACATCATATTTACCTACCCGTAAAGCTGTAAGCCAAATAAATAAAGCCCTCGTGATTTATCGCCGAATAACGATTCTCGTTGTATACGCCGAGAGCTGTGACAAGTTGTTACACATACATCTATTCTTTAAATATTATTAGCATTTTACTAAAAATACAAATTAACTATTATTTTGATGCATATAAAATTTTCAAATGCAAATGATACATCTGAAACAAACTTTAGTCCCCAATTACCGGCTTTTAAAGATGAAACTAAAAGAATGCTAAATTAAATCGCGCAGTCATTAAATCGATAAAATTATGACGCTATAAAAATGGTTCTGATAAGTACATGATTATTAAAAAAACGCGTAAATCACTATGTTTTCAGCAAGCTCGATATTACGAAAAGTTGGCACCTTTGTAAAAGTCGTTTGTTTTGTCCACCTGTTCAATGAACATGTATTTGAGGTCACTTTGGTTGGTTTTAAATTAAATATATATATACATTTTCTATATATAATACGTAATAAATATTTTTATGGTAGTTTTCTATTTTCAAAGATCTCATAAACGATAATATAAAGAATATATCACCAGTAATTTATATAATAAATACAAAATGAATAGTGTATGGGCCCTTCTATGCTACCCACTTTTAACGAAATTGGCGATGTCGTAGCTCAAGAACATATTAGTCCACGACTAGGGCTTTTAGAAATTGGCGATGTGGTTGTATGCGTGTCGCCCACGACACCCGGAAGGTCCGTCTGCAAACGGATATTGGGCATGGTAAGTATATTCTTTGAGTGAGTGGAGCATAATAATTTGAAGTTTTTTATTTTGATTTGATATTCTGTAAAAAAGCCCGGGGATTATATTTGCGTCGATCCAACAGAGAGAAATAGAAGATACTTGACGGTATATTGTTGATAGATTTCTATCTTGCGAAATGTATTCGTTTTTTATTTTTTTAGCTGAAATATTAAAAATTATACATCAATATTTTTTTCTAGGTGCCTCGAGGACACGTCTGGCTACAAGGTGACAACATGAGTAATTCTACGGATTCCCGATCGTATGGACCTGTTCCTTATGCCTTGATACGTGGTAGGGTATTTGCAAAGGTGAATTATTTTTGACTTTATCTGAATCTTTGATGACAATTCAAACTAATTTATTTAATTTTTCATGTGAAAGCTATGGCCGGAATTAAGATGGATAAAAAATGGGATGGCTCCCATTAGCGAGCCTAAATAAAGAGAACTTTACCAATAAAATAGAAACGTTTAATTTATATTTTGTTTCAATTGAAATTTCCATCAATAATAATCGAGTGAAATAATATCAATGAATTGAATCAATTTAATCAATTTAATCAATTAACAAATTAATTATTGATGCTTGATCAATAATTCGACCAACTTTAAAACAAGCACGCAAATGTTCATATCTACAAATCAAACAAAAACATTAAGAGAAAATTCATCAAGGGGAAGTCATTTTTACCGAAAAAGTCGAATTCCTAGGATACAAAGGCAAAGATCAGAATATCAAAAAAAAAAACAGGATTGTGTGTGTGTGTGTGCATGTATATGTATGACTTGGGTGTGTAATTATTAGCAAGAAGAATGGGTTCAAGCATACGTTTCATAGTGAAGGATATATGTGGAGGGAGGATGAGGAAATAAAGATATAAAGCTAAATTCAATCTAGATTCATTCATTTATTAGATAGGTAATAAAAAAATTCTTGCAAAGGTATTAATTATTCATTTTAGGTTAAGGTGTTTTCATTTTTCCTTTCGGATCAGTGGCATCCGCAGTTCCCCATCTAAAGAAAGATCGAATAGTTAGAATTGACTCGTTGAAAAAGTGGATTAATAATGAGAGTCACTTACATTCGTATAGTGTGATCGTCGCCAGCTGATGCAAACAAATAAGGATTAACTGGACTCCAGTTGACACTATTAACAGTACCGCTATGTCCCGACAATACTTCGATTAAAGCAGCATGCTCTCGATGCCACACGTAAATATTCGAATCTATTATCAAAAATAAATAAAAATTATGTATGAACCACGACGTATAAAAATCACCCGTGTTAAAGAAATAAAGTAATCGATTACCTTCACTTCCACTAACAATGAAACCTTGATCAATACCGCCGAAGCAAGAACGAATAATATATGTACCCTGGGTTTGTCCATGATATTTGCGGACAAGTCGTTTTTGATCTATATCCCACAAATGAATTTCCTGCATGCACAAATCGTATATATAATTAATATATTGGTCAGTAATCTCGAAGGTTTATTTAGTAATTTACCTGTGACGCTAAATTCATCAATACATATTTACAGTCATTCGATAAGCATACTGATGTAACTTGGGCATTCTCTTCAAGAATACTAAAAAAAGGATTCATCGTACATTATATAATGTCATGAAATAACGCGTATTCTATTCTAAAATGGACTTAAATACTATGATACGCACGCTTCTTCAATTTTGCTGACCAAGTCGTATATGTGAATCTTCTTTTCGGTACTAATAGCCACCATCCTCGTGCCTTCTTTGTTCACTGTAAGGTCTACTATGCGTGGTCCATACCATTTATATAATATTGTACCGTCAAGACCCTACAATAAGTATGAGGACAATATGTTTTTACATATCATCTGAATTTTTAATACACGAGTAAAAATGAAAATACCCATAAAAATGTGTTTTTATCTTGACTGCCTGATATAAAACTTTTTCCATCTGGAAGCCATGCACACGCTGTGACAGGTTCCGAATGTTTTTTCAATGTGGTCACACATTCACCCGTCTTAAATCGGAAAAAACAGACATAAGTGATTGATAACCCATTTTATTCTAGTTAGAAGTTGTGAATTTGAATGAAATAAATTAAAGGCCTACCTGCACATTCCAAAGCTTAATTTCATTATCTTGACCACATGTCAAGAGCATTGAATCGTTAGGAGACCATGAAACAAAGGACACAAAATCTGCATGTTCATTTAACACATGAAGTAACTCCAGAGTCTATTAAGGATGAAGAATTCAGCATATATATTCCAGATAAAAAGAGTTAATCATTCCTCTCACCTCAAGACTCCAAATAATCGCTGTTTTATCTTTAGATGCCGAAGCCAAATATTTTCCATTGTTTGAAAATACAACATACCATACTTCATCGGTATGCTGTCTAAAAATATGCGTTGTAACCAATGGGAACTGTGATCTATTATGTTGTTGTATCCCGAACAGACGACAAAATAAATATATATTGCATACACCATCACTTTAGAAATATGAATAAGAAACGAATTCTTATTAACCTGTCACAAACGTGATCCGAATATAGAGATATATATTCATCCGTATTGTGATATACACAGGACATACGTTGAAATGCTGTCGCTTGTTCAAGTAATGTTTCCAAACGATGTTCAGGTACCATAATAGACGGAGAAATGTACTCTGATACCATACAAGAGAAAATAACAATCAATAAACATTAGCAAAGACAGATAATTGATATCCAATGCACATAATTTACTTTGCAATTCCAGTAATAACTTTTGTCGTGATGTTCCATCGGCACCATCCCATTCTGCCCTTCGCTTTAAATCATCTGCATTCGAACACATGGCGAAACTTTTTTTTATTTTTAGAATATAATGAGATTAGAAGTTGAGACTCTCGGTAATTAACAAAAAAAAAGATGGGAAATCAACAGCGATCTGATAGATCAAGCAGGACATGCCTTGGTAATGCATGCAATCGATCCAAATTATAATCGAGTGGAGTGAGCTCATGTTGGAGAACAACTAAAGCTTTCATTTTCTGTTGCGCTTCCAGTAATTCTAAATATTTTTGTTCTCTGATTAAAAATTTGACAACCTAAATAATGATCATCATTTAGCAATTGTCTCTATTGAAGATTAGATGAAATCATGTATTTAGTTTTGCAATCTACCACAGTATCTTCGGTTTGATCCAATTCCAAAGTGGGTAATAGACTTTCAACCAAGGCCCAATCACCCTTCAAAACACCCTCCCTGAATTGTGCCACGGTTGGACTTTCTAGTGGATATCCCGATTCTTTCTCGAGTGTAGCTGCTGATTCACTATAATTTCATAATCGGATATTTAGAAAGCTCGAGGTTCGATTCACGGAAAATCAAAAATTCATATATATATATACGCAGACCTATAGCCCATATTATGCAATGATTGCACCATCAATCTCACCAGTTCTTGCTGCCTAATTTTCTGTAATTTATTATAATGATTACTATTACTACTATTAGATATTATTTGACCATTAGATGATTTCTCAACATCTCCGTTACTATTAGCTCGGGTGACGCCATTAGTGCTTCCAACACCAACACCATTTTCCGAATTGATCCTCATTATTGGCTTCTTATCGGTATTATTCTCTTCGGTACGTAGACGTTTCGGTGAGCGCAAGTCAATATCAGAATCACTAGCTTGAATGTAGTCGTCTGTCTCGTCTCTTGGATGATACCCACTAACTTGACTCCTCGTTTCGTCAATTGCTAACGAAGAACTAGAGTTCGAAGGTGAGGTTATTATATGTGAAGAAGAGTAAGGAAAAGGCAATGAAACGACGGTAGTGGCAGTTGGAGATTGGTCCCCTTCAAAAGAACCGATCAAAGTGTGTGGAGAAGTGTGGGTGACTGCAGCAGAAGCTCTATCTAATAAATGTGGGTAAGGTAGCTGGTTTGCGTCGCTGACTGAATTGCCTCTGCTACTAGCCCTTCCAAGTTGTGATTCGCGTTCCAGGATGGGAAAATGTCGCTGAGGCACACACTTGGCGTGCCAAACTCAATGTATATTATCTGAAGCAGTATGTCTGCAAAGTAAACCCGACAGCAAAAATTCACAATTTATAAAAGATTGTGAATAGATTGCAAAGTAGCGTTTACTATAGAAAGAGTGGACAGTGTACAAGGTTAAAGCACAATAGGACAATTTCAAATTAGCATCGACTTTTTTGAAAAGAACAGTGCAAGATTGGTAGATTAGACACTACAATGGTTGGAAGTAAAAATCAATTGTGATTTGTTAATGGTCGTAGTAGTCGTCGTCGTCGAAGAAATATGACTTGGCCACGAACCACTCACTTACACAACTGAGCAACTATGTGAAAGAAGTCCAAAGGTGACTAACTACAACAGTATGAATAATAGCGACGACAGCGATAGCAATAGCAATAGTTATAATTATGATAATATATTACAAAAATCATTTTCGATAACCCCTTTATATGAATTATATGATAGTCTCAAAAATCTCACGTCATTGACATTTTTTACCTATTCCTGTTATTACCGCCGCCGTTTTAACTTTTCGCCTCAAATAAATACACGTGATTCTATTCCAAAAATTTAAAAATTTAGATGATGGTTTGTTTTGGAAACATAAACATGATGTGTCAATTGCCATCACCATGAACAGCAGCATCATCAATCCATCCACAGTAGATGATTGGGTAAAGATGATTCAATTATGTAGTGAGATAAGTGGTACAGGTACAGGCTAGTATGGATCCAGTTAGTAATAGAATTGATCTTTTCTTTTTATTGTTTTTATTGGGAATTTTTTTTCTAGATAAATAATCACTTTTTGGGAAGCTGATAAGAATTAATTAAATTTAAATCAATTTGAAAAAACATGAATTATTAAAATGTGATTTCTCCACAAAAAAAAACTCACCTATTTTCTCAAATAATCTCACTACTATATCAGGTTTCTTGATCCGAATCGTTTTCCTTGGCTTTCTCTAGCGCTTTTTTCCGTTTTAACTCGTTAATTTGCTCGACAACTACCTTCATTTGATTGATCTCCCGTTGTCTTTTGTATCTACAAATTTCCCTAAAAAAGCGAAATAGGTAATGCAAAAGAATAAATCAACCACATTCTCACAAAGGAGTATACTATAACTAATTAATGAAATGCCAAAAATTTTTGATCGAATTAAAAAAAACAAACAAAAATCAATTTCATCATTCACCATGTTCCGACTGCAATCAAACAAAAAGAACCAATAGCCCAATTTGATGCTGGCAAAACATTACCTTAAATTAGGGAGAATAATTTGGTTAATTTAGCATACATGTACATATATAAACATACATTTATATAATTAATAACATGAAAATACCAAATATTCATGGAAAAAGGGCGAAAATATGACAGAAACTACTACACAAAGACACACCTTTATATAAAAAACTTATAAAACCGGCACTTGTCCCGCCGCCTATACCATAAAGAATGCTATTTCGAGCACAAGGTATTTTATCAATATTTTTGAAATCTTCAAAAGTCAAATTCTAAAATTTATTTATTTATTTTTAATATGTTTAATGGTTTAAATAGAGATTCCAAGTTTTTGCGGTTTTTCTATGTATATAATTTGTATTAACAAAGAACCTTTAAAACTGTAATGGCTTCATTTGGCTTTGTTATTGTTGTTGCTGTTGTTTCTCTAGTCGAGTCAGCAGAGGCTGCAGTAGAATGTTCGGTAGTCATTTCAAAAAAAAAAAAAGGTTTAAAAAACAAAATTCGAGTTTTATAATTCGAGATTTCCGTTTCCGTATAATAGTTGAACGCATGACTAATAATGACCGACTTAATTAATGAGTGATCGTGTAGTGGTTACACGAACAGTGACTTGCTTTTAAATCTCCCAAAAATGAAAATTAAACTGCAAGGATAAATAAACATTTTTAGCTCTTGATAATCCTTGACATTAACCCTTTCTTTTCGTTAAAGACGCGTTTACCTTGAGTAATTTTTTGCTACTGCAAAATGGCCGAAGTTAAAGATTTAGCACACCGTTCTTTTAAGGACAAAGATAAGCCTGTTGAAGTTCGTCTTAGCAACATCATAGCAGCTAAAGGTATTTTTTGACGAATGCCATCGGGATCGACATATGGATTTCTTTGGTTCAAACAAACAGTTAACGACTTATGTGAATTTTTGACAACCTTCCTTTCAGCTGTAGGCGATGCTATACGAACTTCTCTTGGTCCTAAGGGTATGGATAAAATGGTAAGTTTTGATTATTTAATTCCCAATTGACTAGAGTAAATTATTAAATCAATGATCGATTAAAATATTGTAAATATATTTTCTATTGATCTTGTAAATGACCGTCATTTTAATGTCATCTTTTTTGTTGTTAATTAATTCTCAATCTAATTGCTTTAATTTCGTTGCATAGATTCAAACTGGTAGCGGAGAAGTGGTGATCACCAATGACGGGGCTACGATTTTAAAACACATGTCGGTCTTACACCCTGCCGCTAAAATGGTCATTATTTCTTTTTTTATATGCAGTTGATTTTCAAATAAATGCTACTAATTTATAAATAAATAAATCAATAATAATTTTAGCTTGTGGATTTATCCGCAGCCCAGGATATAGAAGCAGGTGACGGCACTACATCAGTAGTGGTTATAGCAGGTGCATTATTGGGTGCTGCGGAAAAAATGTTAGCTAAAGGTATAAAGCAGACATTTCAAAAATGCAATGGTTTCTTAATTAGTCACAATACTTAATTAAGCTCGTTGCCAATCTAAAGGCATTCATCCCACCACAATTGCCGAGTCCTTTCAGCGTGCTGCCGCAAAATCAACAGAATATTTGACTGAGATGGCTATTTCTATTGATTTGTCTGATCGAGATTCGTTGTTAAGAGCTGCTAGCACTTCACTGAATTCAAAGGTTCCTTCCTTTTTATTTGTTTTTGATTTATCTCGTATTTTTTTCCCTAATCAAAACTATTGATATTATAGATTGTGTCTCAATACTCGAGTCTTCTCTCTCCGATTGCTGTTGATGCAGTGTTACGCGTCATTGATCCTAATTTTGCTACGAATGTAGACTTGAATGATATTAGAATAGTGAAAAAGGTGGGAGGTACAATTGACGATACGGAATTAGTAGAGGGACTTGTTTTAGCACAAAATGTGATCAAGAGCGCTGGTGGACCGAGTCGTATTGAAAAAGCGAAAATCGGGTTAATTCAATTCCAATTATCACCGCCAAAACCAGATGTAAGACATTTTTTTCAACCGATTCTTCTTGTTGTCGTCTTTTATTATATAGCGCGTAATGTTTATATATTTACTTTGTTTTTCAGATGGAAAATCAAATTGTGGTCAATGACTACAGATTAATGGATAAAATATTGAAAGAAGAACGTCAATATTTACTTAATATGTGTAAAAAGATAAAGAAGGCTGGATGTAACGTCTTGTTGATCCAAAAATCCATCCTGCGAGATGCTGTTAATGATTTGTCGCTGCATTTTCTTTCAAAGCTTAAAATATTGGTTATAAAAGATATTGAAAGGGATGAAATTGAATTCATTTGCAAGGTACTTTTTATTTGTTTTTTTATTAGTTTCCTAGTATCTCTAATCAATTAATTTTCTTAGAGCACTGGATGTAAACCAATTGCCGATATTGAAGCATTTACCGAGGATAAACTCGGTTACGCCGAGCTTGTTGATGAGATTCAAACCTCGGGAGCTCGAATTGTTAAGATTACGGGCGTGAAGCATAATGGCAAAACTGTATCAGTTTTGATTCATGGTGCTAATTCACTCGTATTAGAAGAAGCCGATCGATCTCTACACGATGCTTTGTGTGTTGTACGATGTCTAGTCAAAAAAAAGTTAAGAGATACTTTATTATCATCACGGGAAAGGACCAAGACTCAAAAACTTCATTTCGTTTTGTTTTTTTAAACTAGAGCTTTAATAGCTGGTGGTGGTGCACCGGAAATTGAAATCTCTCAACGATTGTATGATTACGCGAAGACGCTTAAAGGCATGGAAGCTTATTGCTTTGAAGCTTTTGCCGAAGCGCTAGAAATTATTCCGACAACGCTTGCTGAGAATGCAGGTTTGAATCCAATAGCGATTGTCACAGAACTAATTAATAGACATGCACAAGGAGAAAAAACTGCTGGAATCAATGTTAGAAAGGTAGGTACATACAATACGCACGTTATTCTTTCAATCTTATTATCTTAAATGTGCTCTTTTGGTTATTGTAGGGTACTATAACTAATATCCTCAAAGAGAATGTTATACAACCATTACTTGTATCGACTAGTGCTATTGAGTTGGCTGCAGAGACCGTAAAAATGCTCTTAAAGATTGATGATTTGGTATATTATTTGAGCTTTACTTTAAATTGTATTTGAAAAGCGAATAATTTATATTTATTTCATTATTAATAATATTCTAGGTACAAACGCGGTAAAATAATTGAATCAAATTAAAATTAGAAGATCTCGTGTTTACGATGCCTTTGCTTTATTGATATTATTAAACTGTTGTGGTATTATAAAAGAAGTATTTGGTTTTTTTGTTGATAGAGATAAAAATATGTAAAATTATTTATTAATTTCGAGTTCAATGAATAACACGATTTAATTCTTCAGCAATATGATCCTCATAATTTGGTTGGTGATACCTAACCGTTACACTGATTTCGAACATTCCAGGATAAACCGCACTTTTCGTATAATAAACACGGTTCTGTCAGTAGCTCACATTTCTTAACAAAAACCACCTTTTTAACTTTTTTAACAAAACCACCTTTTTACAACCTGGCTCAGAACAATAC